TCCCTTCAGCGATGCCAAGTTGACTGTCGGTATATCGAAGTGTTGAAGTGCTTGTACAGTAGGGCTACGATGGCTATCCGAGTATCGACGGATTCAACTCGGCTGGGCAACGTTCGGGAAGCTACGACACATCTTCTCGTCAGACATACCTCAAAACCTTAAAACGAAATTGTACAACCAGTGCGTGTTGCCAGTGATGACTTACGGAACTGAGACGTGGTCCTTCACTGCTGGCCGTATGAGGCAGCTCAAGGTCGCTCAGCGAGCTATGGAGAGGGCTATGCTCGGAGTTTCTCTGCGTGATAAACTTAGGAATGAGGATATCCGCAGTAGAACCAGAGTGACCGACATAGCCCAACGGATTAGTAAGCTGAAGTGGCAGTGGGCCGGCCATATAGCTCGAAGAACCGACAACCGGTGGGGAAGAAAGGTTCTCGAGTGGCAGCCTCGTACCGGTAGGCGAAGTGTAGGGCGTCCCCCCACGAGATGGAGTGACGACCTGGTAAGACATGCAGGAAGTCGATGGATGCAGGTGGCTCAGGACCGTGGTTTGTGGCATTCTTTGGGGGAGGCCTATGTTCAGCAGTGGACTTGTGAAGGGCTGTAATGATGATGATGATGATCCGTTGCCTTTTGAACTTTTGGTTAGCTTTTGTTGCTAACCAATCCAACCACGCTTTCTTCTTTTCTTGCACAACACTTTGTACATCTTTAGCCATCTACACCTTATAGTTCTTTCTTTCTTTCCTTCTTTTAGCTACCCCGCATACCTCAATAGCAACATTCACGATCCCTTTCTTAAATGTCACCCACAAATCTTCAATCACACCTATCTCTTCTATGCTTTAAAACTTTCTATCAGTTTCTCTACATACTCGTCTTTCTTTTATTTTTCTTGTAGATTTTCCACTTTTACTCTGTCCAAAACACTCGTAGGCTCGGCCCCTCGGTGTCGCCACCGTTTAAAGAGGTCACGCATTCGGGCTATGACCAGGAAGTGGTGTGTGCCTACACCGCGGTATGTCTAGACAACACAAAGTCACCAGTCAAGACAAAGTCAAAAAACAAGTCAAAGACTGAGGAAGAAAGTCTTCCTCAGTTTTTCATCCACAATTACAAAATCAATCATACTTCTAGACTCACCCTCATCTCTTGTATACAAATGGATCTTTTTGTGCTCAAACATTGTGTTGGCCACGCACAGATTCCATTCCAAGCATACTTCAAGCAAGCTTCTCCCATTGTCATTCACTCTCTCGTCCCCAAACGTACCCAGAACTCCTTCATACCCATCACGCTTTACTCCAACCCACCCATCAAACTCCCCTGACATAACGATCCGTTCATTTTCTCCGCATTTATTCAAAACTTCACTCATGCTATCCCAAAATTGCTCTATCTCTCTCTCTCTCTCTTGTTGGGCTTTTAATGACCCACCTCCGTGTAGATCCGTCGGTGCATAGACAATAACTAGCAATACATATTGTTCTGTTCGCCATGGCCTTGCTCTTTCTGGCCGAGACGCAGGTGTCTTGTCCGGCTGACACTTCGTATCTCTCCTACCCGGGGTACAAATTGGAGCACTCCTTTGTGCCTCGGGCGGGAGTTTGCGTGTATGTCAGAGACATGAAGCAAATACAAAGAGGAGACGTTCTAATTAAATTTCACTATGTAACAACGCGTGACAATTTGCGGGGTGAGGAGATGCAAAGCCCCGCCCACTTTACACTATCTACATCTACCGATAAATAGTAAAACTACTCGAATCGTTCCATATCGATGTTGCAATGTAGTTTAGGTACCTTGACGGTAGATGGCGGCCTGTTCACAAAATGATTATAAACTATAAAAATAATATTTTGGCGATTAAACTTTCTTTATGTCTAAATGCAACGCAAATTTCAGCACCTTCGTATGATTATTTTACCAATACTGAGCTCTACGTACCTATATATTTTTAGTTCACATGACACAAAGTGTCGCCATCTAGTGTCAAATATATTTAATTATATTTGAAAGCCGACGCAGAGATTTTTCTAGAACTATTTTAATAAATTAGGTGTAAAATTACTTACAAATGAAATGTGATGCCATCCATAACACCAGAGCGTCTATCTGAGTAGTTTTTACACGATAAAACACAACACTTTTCTTCTTAATAAAACTACGAAAAGATTTGCAATTTTCAACACACAAGCGCACTGGACGAGTGCTGACAGTAAACTAACTAAAGCCACGCCCACTATGAGACGTCAGGACCTACTTAGAATCACAGTGCACAGTTGCTTATGCCGTCTCCTCTTTATATTTGCTTCATGGTCAGAGAGGACATCTGTTCTCGACGCCTCGGCATCTTGAAGGTTCGGACCTGTCCATCCTTTGGCTACGTGTAGACAGCGACGACCATCCGCGCGTCTACGGGTGCCTCAATAGGTCCCATAGCGGTAATGCCTAAACAGACCGACTCATCGACCACGTCCAAATGGCTACAGATTCCTTGCTACAACAGGTCTTGGCGATTTTAACGCCCACCACGCCGAATGGCTCGGTTTACGTTTAACCGATCATGCGAGGGGATCTGTTTATGACTTTGCCTTGGCATATGGTCTGACACAACTGGTTACTTCGCCTACGCGGATTCCAGATGTGGAGGATCATACACCTTCCCTCTTGGACCTTCTGCTGACCTCTCATCCGGACGGATATCAGGTTTCCGTCGATGCCCCTCTCGGCTCTTCGGACCATTGTCTGATCCGGAGTGTGGTGCCACTCACGCTCCCCTCGCGGTTGCGTTCTGTAGGTTGCCGCCGTGTTTGGCATTACAGGTCGGCGGATTGGGACGGAACGCGGTCTTTCTTTGCTTCCTACCCATGGGGGCAGGGTTTGATTCTCGCCGGATGATCCCAGCGCTGTTGCTAACTCTGTCACTGATGTGGTGCTACAGGGAATGGAATTATTTATTTCATCATCTGTGGTACCCATCGGAGGCAGATCTCAGCCTTGGTTTGGTCGCTCCTGTAAGAATGCATTACGCAGTAAGCAGGAGTGTTATCGAGCCTGGACTGCGGCTTCGGCGACTCGGGATGTAAACACCAGCACACTTAAAAAGAAGTATAACTTCGCCTCCAGGTCCTTCAAAAGAGTTATTGCCAAGGCTAAGTCAGAGCACATAGACAGAATTGACAAGAAACTAGTTCGTCTTCCTTCGGGAACCCGTGCATTCTGGTCTCTCGCCAAGGCTGTCCAAGGGAATTTCTGTAAGCTATCACTACCGTCTCTGCACAGGGAGTACGACTCACTGGCCCAAACCAGACCAGTGTTTGCGTGTGCGTGAGGCACGCACTCACGCTTAGCGGTTGCTATGTCTCACACCAGCGTCATTTGTATCTGGGAGTTACCAGCTAATGAATCTATCCCGATAAAATAGGGAAAAACTGTAAAATTATGTCATGTTGATAAAATCATAAATTATAATATTTTAATATGGTGCTTTCAATTGTGTGTTTAGTTGTCTGTTGATTTAAATACTGATTTTTTTTATAGAAAAATATAACCAAATAAAAATCAATTACGCATTTACAGAATATGTTTTATTATTTAATGTATGATGTCGACTTATAAAAATACTTGAGTTTGGCCAGCGGCTTCGCCTGCGTCATAGTTAAATAATTTATCCTAAGGTTCATACAAATCGATTCAGCCGTTTCGGAAGAGTTTGGTAACAAAAACCGCGACACAGGAATTTTATATATTAGATATTGAATTTCAATTATACATTTTACAATGGACTTTCAAAGCTTGTTACAGGTACCATCCACTTCAGATAGCCTCATGTGTGTACCTGTGTACTATAGTCGCAAGTTGAACTTATACAATCTTTCGATTTATGAGTTTTGACTAAAAATAAAATGCCTCCGATTTGAAAAGGCTCTAGCTGGAGTAGTTCAGTTCCGACATGACTGTGAGGGACCATATTTATTGATGGACACAAGTTCAAAGACATGTAGAACTAGGCAGACAGGAAACAGGGCAACTACAGCGTTAGATATTTCTAGATTAAGCTTAGAAAAGGCATACAAACAAACTCTATTTCAGAGACTAAAAAAAGGATCTGATAAACTTGTGCAAAAAATATTATACCGGTTGAGCTGCACCCATGGTATAAAAGCTTGCCATCAATCAGTCAGTCAGTTATTAGCTCCGATTCAGAATAAGTTAAGAAATTAAGAATAAATAAGTCCAAGGAATTAGTTAATCTAGACCTTAAATGCTGTTGATATTTAGTTTATTTAGTTATTTAGGGGTTTAACTTAAACGTTACAGCAGAATGTTTAGCAAATGATTATTTTAATAAACATTCCGCTTGCGCTTAATTAGTAGTAATTCTCAATAATCCATAAGCAAAGATTTTTTATTTTGGCATATCCGAAAAAAGTAGATAAAAGTTTTTAATAAATTATTATTGCAGTGTAATAACTGAATAATGTTACTTATCATGTCGATTTTCAACCTCATGTTCATTCCACTAACGGGAAAAACTGAAAAACTAACACAATAAAACAGATAACTACATGTTAATCCCGAAAACACGGTGAACCAAAGTTAGATAACTTTTTAATGTTATTCGAAACATTTAGATAATATGATATGGGTTTTACAATAAACTCAAAAGATGCACAATGAACCATTTATTAACATTTAAAAAAAAACCAACGTCAAAAATATTTACAGTAAAATTTTTATATAAGTTTTTGTCAAAAAAATCTCTAAATCAGCTTTCTCTCGTAGAAATAGTTTTGCTAGTCATCTAATTTCGGTTCTACGACAGCGATATAACAAAACACTAAAATTTTCAAATACCTCATGGTATTGCTTTAGTCAAATCAATGTTAATTCGCACATAGTATTCAAAAAACAATTGACTAATTTTGTTACCAAAAAACTATACAACAAAGCAAATACAACGTAAGGATGGTAAGGAAAGTAAAAATCCTAAATTTTTAACTTGTAATTTTCTCTTGCTGTTGCGCCGAATCTGATGCTTGATCTCTGTCCTGTAAAGTAGAAAAAAATATTTAAAAAAAAACAAACAACAATACACAATACAACCACCTAATTATTTATTTATCATTAGTTAATTGATAGAATCAGGCGTTACTTTGCGTAAATCTATTATAATGGAGTTGTTATAAACTAATTTGCTTAATTCCGCGTGAAGAAAGAAAATGATGTGTCCTGCCCAGTTTTAAGGGGACCTCCCACCCTCCCTCCAGTTTTAAGGGGACCTCCCACCCTCCCTCAATCGCGCGCACTATACCCGTCGTCGTTAATCGCAGCACTACCACCCTCAGCACCACCACACTAGGCACGACACACCACACTCGAATATACGACACATGTTTCGCCTTGCCCTATCAAACTGCTCAATCAAATATCAACTAATAAAATAACTCGTAAACTGTTTCAAACTATTTCAAATTTCCCGCGCGCTCTTCCGTTCTACACAGGTCATGACCTCGTAGCCTTATTATGTAACGTCAACACTTGGCAGATTGCTTTCAATCCGAAATACACTGATTCGTGTTCTATCTGTCTCAAAGCGAACACGCAATGGACTATCAAAATCAATCGTCACGCAAAACTGCGCGATACTGCTGTCATAAAAAAGGAGTTGAACTGAGCGATTAGTCGTCTCTCACGGACGCGTGGGCTTTTTACCGGACTTTCGAGAAGACGATCGCTCCCTTTCTAACCTGTGGCAAAATGTTCTATAATGAAATATAATTAAGATTGTTTATATAGCAATTAGTATGGAGCCATAAGCTGGGCTTTCGGTGTAAAGTTAGGGGCGCGTGGGCGATACGTTTGCAAGATCAATTCACATTTCAATGTTTACTCTGTATGATTACTTGAGCGAATGAATCTTGCGAGTTGAAAATTTATGCTTTTTTAAATATTTTTAGTGAAAATGGAGGATAATAGTGTTTTTTGTGATGAATTGAAGTGTGTTAAAGTGCTAATCGGCGAGGAAAAGGTAAAATCTTTAAACTTCTTTAAATCTCCACAAGTTCCTCCGCGGAACGTGCTTTCTCATCTCTGAAGCGCATCCATACTTATTTGAGAAATACACAAGGTCAAGAGCGTCTTTCAGACTTATCAATTATCGCAATTGAAAAACAGTTAAGCGTTTCCCACACACAGAAGCAGCTTGCGGTGGCGGCCGCGGTGGCGGCCAGTTGTATTCGCTCGCAATGTAAGTGAGTCTGCAAGCCCGTGCGGCCATGTCGCGATCTGCGAGCGGCTGGCCGCGGCCGCATGCTTCGCCCCTTCTGCCAACGCGTGTGTGTTAGCGAGTACGTGGTCAGTCGATGGCCGCAGCGCGGTCAGTTGCAAATTTTTACAACAGGCCGCGTGTACCGCGTGAAAAATGGTGCAAACTTCAGAGATTTTAATTGAAACAGTGCAAAATTATCCAGTACTTTATGATAATTCGCATCGTGATTACAAAAGCATTAAGATTAAAAACAAAATATATGATAATATTGCTGAATATAATAAGACTTAGTCACGGTTAGTCATGTTACTGACATCCAATCGTAGCACAGACACCACAACGAATGGCGCTTCAGGCTGCCACTGCGACCGCGGTTGTGTGTTGTTGCAGCGGCTGGAGCCGCGGCTCGCGGCTAGCCGCCACCGCAAGCCGCTTGTGTGTGGGAGACGCTTTATTGCTACAATTAAAACGTTCACCAATATTTTACGCGGACGTAATCAAATCTTTCATTAAGAAAGAGAGACGATTCGATTTAGAATATAAATCATTTGTTTTTTTTTAATTTTGTACATAGTTTGTTTGTACTTTGTTCATGCTTTTCTTTTGCTCATGTATTGTATTGTATGTAAATATCTTTTTCTTTCGTTCAAGCAAACCCAAACGGCTTTTTTCAAAGCCACCAAAGGTATGCAATTGCTGATATGTCATACAACCTATCTAGCAGTACTATGCCTTCTGTGTGCTTTGTTAAACACGTCCTCGACAGCACTGAATATGAAACTGAAAAGTGGAGACAGATGAAGATCGGTATATTTTTATAAAACTGCTAAAAAAACTTGCCGTGTAGTGGCGGTTAAGAATATCCACTACCCCATATCTTCCCGTGGGTGTCGTAAAAGGCGACAAAGGGAAACAGGCAGGAGATGGGCAGCAGCATCTTCCTGATAATAGCCAAAATAACAATAAAAAAACTGCGGTTGCCAACCCGCTCGCCAAGCGTGGCAACTATGGCAATATACCCCCCATGAGCAATGACAATAATAAACGGCCCCTAGTCCCCGGCGGCCCCGCTATTCCTGGCTACGGTGGCGACCATGGTAACGGCGGGGCAGGGGGTGCTAAGAATCTCCGGTGGAGGTTCGGTTGCCACCTACGACGACTCGACCTGGCAACATACAACGCACGCACCCTGAGGACTGACGAGAAGATTGTGGAGCTGGAAGAAGAGATAGACAAGTTACGCTGGCATATTATAGGATTATCCGAAGTCCGAAGAGAGGGGGAGGACACGGTAATCCTCGAATCCGGCAACTTGCTCTATTACCGGGAGGGCGACCATCTGTCCCAAGGAGGTGTCGGATTTATCGTCCACAAGTCTCTCGTTAACAACGTTGTAAAGATTGAGAGTGTGTCGACGAGGGTTGCGTACCTTATACTCAGAATCACCAAACGGTATTCGCTGAAGGTCATACAGGTTTACGCACCAACCTCGGCACACCCCGATCAGGAGGTGGAGGAAATGTATGAGGATATATCTAGAGCCATGCATTCCTCCAAAACCCAATATACGGTGTTAATGGGAGACTTCAATGCAAAACTAGGCACAAGAGAGAACGGTGAGCTGAAAGTAGGGAAATTTGGAATAGGGCAACGGAACCCAAGGGGCCAGCAGTTGGCTGACTTCATGGAGAAAGAGGGACTCTTTATGATGAACTCTTTCTTCCAGAAGCGGCCCCACAGGAAGTGGACCTGGTCGAGCTCCGACGGTTCGACAAAAAATGAGATTGACTTCAACTGTTCAGTGATGTCTCAGTGATCGCGAGGGTGAAAACCGGCAGCGATCACCGAATGGTTAGAGGCACACTGAACCTAAACGTTAAGTTGGAGAGGTCTCGTCTAATGAAGTCAACGCTCCGTCCCCCTCGTGCTCTAATCCAAAGTCCCGAAACCTTTCAGCTCGAGTTACAAAACCGTTTTCAGTGCCTAGAAGACTGCAATGAAGTGGACGATTTGAATGACAAGCTCGTGGAAACTGTCCATGCGGTCGGAGCTAAGTTCTGCAAGACCCGCCGCAGAAGAACACAAAAACTCTCCGATCACACTCTTAATCTCATGGCTGTTAGACGGGAGATGAAGCTACATTCTTCAACAGATTTAACAGCATACAGGCAACTGAACAGACAGATCTCCAAATGCATGCGGCGGGACTTACGCAACTTCAATACAGCTCGTATTGAAGAAGCGATCGAGCGGAACCAAGGCTCCAAAGTCTTTGCCAGAGATCTGTCTGCCAGAAAGCGCCAACTGTCAAAGCTGAAGACGGAATGTGGCAGCATCGTTTCCGGGGCACCTGAGATTTTGAATGAGATTGAGAGGTTCTATGGGCAGCTGTACACGTCATCGTTGGAGCCGCACGCAAGTGTGAGTAACGATCCAAGAGCGAGTCTTATCCGACATTATTCCGATGATATCCCGGACGTCAGTCTGAGCGAGATTAGAATGGCTCTCCAGCACCTTAAAAACGGCAAGGCCCCAGGCGAGGATGGAATTACAGCGGAGCTTCTGAAAGCGGGTGGAAAACCGGTACTTGAAGTCCTTCAGAAGCTCTTAAATTCCGTCCTCCATGGTGGCATTACACCGGAGGCGTGGAGCAGAAGTGCGGTGGTCTTGTTCTTCAAGAAACGCGACAACGCTCTCTTGAAGAACTACAGACCGATTTCCCTTCTGAGCCGCGTCTACGTGCTGTTTTCGAGAGTCATTACGAATCGTCTCGCGCGCAGACTTGACGACTTCCAGCCTCCCGAACAAGCCGGTTTCCGAAAAGGCTTTAGCACCATAGACCACATACATACCCTTCGGCAAATTGTACAGAAGTCCGAGGAGTACAATTTGCCACTATGTCTGGCGTATGTGGACTATGAGAAAGCCTTTGATTCCGTTGAAATTTGGGCGGTGCTGCAGTCCCTTCAGCGATGCCAAGTTGACTGTAGGTATATAGAAGTGTTGAAGTGCTTGTACAGTAGGGCTACGATGGCTATCCGAGTACAGAACCAGAGTACGAAACCTATCCAATTGCAGAGAGGTGTAAGACAGGGTGACGTCATATCCCCGAAACTCTTTACCGCTGCATTGGAAGATGTTTTCAAGCTTCTGGACTGGAAAGGATACGGTATCAACATCAATGGCGAGTACATCACTCACCTTCGATTTGCCGACGATATAGTCCTTATGGCAGAATCGCTGGAGGACCTAAGCACTATGCTCAATGACCTCAATAGTGTTTCCCAACGGATAGGTCTTAAGATGAACATGGACAAAACAAAGATCATGTTTAATGTCCATGTCACACCTATGCCGGTAGTTGTTGGGAACACTAAGCTCGAAGTTGTTGACGAGTATGTTTACCTGGGACAAATAGTCCGACTAGGTAAGTCCAACTTCGACCGCGAGGTCAATCGACGGATTCAACTCGGTTGGGCAGCGTTCGGGAAATTACGGCACATCTTCTCGTCAGGTATACCTCAAAACTTGAAAACGAGACTGTACACCCAGTGCGTGTTGCCAGTGATGACATACGGAACTGAGACGTGGTCCTTCACTGCTGGCCGGATGAGGAAGCTCAAGGTCGCTCAGCGAGCTATGGAGAGGGCTATGCTCGGAGTTTCTCTGCGTGATAAACTCAAAAATGAGGATATCCGCAGTAGAACTAGAGTGACCGACATAGCCCAACGGATTAGTAAGCTGAAGTGGCAATGGGCCGGCCATATAGCTCGAAGAACCGACAACCGATGGGGAAGAAAGGTTCTCGAGTGGCAGCCTCGTACCGGCAGGCGAAGTGTAGGGCGTCCCACCACTAGATGGAGTGACGACCTGGTAAGATATGCAGGAAGTCAATGGATGCAGGTGGCTCAGGACCGTGCTTTGTGGCATTCTTTGGGGGAGGCCTATGTTCAGCAGTGGACTTGTGAAGGGCTGTAATGATGATGATGATGATGATGCTAAAAACAACAAAACCATATCTTGGGCCTGCCCTAGTTTGGAGCCCTAGCTTCGCCACTGCACGCGCCTTAAGCTCGTAGTAGTGTACCTATCGTAGCGCGGTTGTATGAAGATTTGCCTCTGGTCGGTCTCTTTACTCATGACAGCAAACTTCCGGTCCCGAGTGCCCACATCAAAGTGATCGGGTGAAATCGAATACAGCCGAGCGAGTGCCTGCCGTACTACCATAATATGACAGAGGTATCACTGACAAGATTGGCTACATCTTGAAGCCAGCTTCCATTAAAACATACATACTGTCGAAGATTATGTAACCGTAAAATTAATAATTTTAAACTGAAGGTAGGCATGGAACTATAACAATGGATCGTGGAACACCTCAATCTCCCTATGACAATGGATGCTGCAAAGTACTCGAAACATCGGATTTAAGTTAATTAAGCCCGATAAAATCCATAAAAATTTGGTTTCATTCAATAAATTATTTTTGCATCCTTCATGCTGGAATCTTGCCCTACGATATGCTAAACTTTATTGTGCCAAGATTTAGTGAAGACTTCAGAAAGAAAATAGTGACTAAATACTTTAGGAGATATAGCCCTTCTTTTGAGAGAATTCTATCTTGAATTCAAGCTAGCAGGCTAGACTTTCCGTGGTTACTAAAGGCTGTTAATAAAGAGTAAAAATATAAATTGTGAAATGGTAAGTAAGTTAGGTAAAGTACCGATTCTGACTATGATCGACCATATTTCCGCTACTATGTGAGTTCTATAATGCCCAACAAATGCAACTTGCAAGGCCATTCATCGGGAATCGCGATTTTTAGCTCGGAAGAAATAGGTAGAAAGTGTAAACAACAAATAAACCCGAAATACGATTCCTAACATAAATGTAATTGTATTCTACATAGTTAAAAATCATCGAAACAAAGTTGTAATTTCAGTACTTTAAATATTTTAATTACAAGAGACAAGCATAGGTGTGTAAGTAGGTACTTGGATAGTGAAATAAATTTCAACAAAGTTTTGTAATAAAGTACTTAGGTATTACTTCTATAGTTAAATTAATACTTAATTCATTTTTCGCTATAAGTACCTAACTAAAAGAAAATTAAAAATATATTCACCTTTCATTATCGTTCGGTAATTCAAAAAATGATATATCTGAATCCTTTTGTTTGCTCATTAAGCATTCATCCACGCAACAATTATAGTAGGAACGTTTTGCCATTATAATGTATCAAATAGATAGGTAATATACATATATAGGTATTATTCTTAAATTACATTAAAACTTTTTCAACTATTTAATCCTACAATTAAATATACTAAACACTAAACAAAAATTCATTCTAAGAATATTTCAACAAGTATTTACAAAAAACTATTTACGTAAACAGCTTTAAAAAAACTAACATTCAATCGCCTTGGACGCGCTAGCCCCGCCTGCGTTGTATCCCAGGGGCGCCTCACGATTGTAGGTAATTATTTCACGCAGGTAGCAAGAGTGACAGAGGCCTGGTCTAACCTCGTACTAATTTTTGGTAGTCTTTGTAATTTGTTTTCTGGTTTTTTAACTTAAAAAAAAATTATAACTCATCTGTTTCCCTTGTATATAAGTAAAACCAATTTTTGGAATTATCCGATAATTTAAAAACATTCACAAGTTGTAGCCTCGTACTGGTGAGCTAGACAACAAGTGTGTAGGATGAAATGAAATGAATAAAAAAAATTAAAAATATCGGAAATATGTGAAGTCCGCCAACACGCAATTTGGCAGCCCGTTGGACACTTTTTTGCACTAAAACCCTTTTAGAAAAGGAGAGGAAGCCTGTTTTCAGCAGTGGAACGTATATATGATAGAGTGTTTCTTAATACAAAGTAAGGTGAAATTGTTTACCTTACAACCAACAGTTTCAGTTTCCATGATGTTACTCGAACTGCGTCTGCTTCTGTTTTGCCTCTTAGCGTGCTTAGCTGTAAACTTTTGTATGAAATCGGCTTGCGTCACATAATCACTCGGTTTTTGTAATTCATGTATGGAATTTACTGTTACGTCTGAAAATCAGTTAATAGTGTTTAATATTGTGTATATTGTTAAGTTATATCGCAGATGTGAATGGCAGATTCGCCAGGAGACGCCTTAGACGGAAGTTTATCGACCCAATGAGGGCTAATAATTTTCCGCTCACCAGATGTCGCTAGTTGACACTGAGGTAAAGTTTTTTGTTACACAGTGTAGTTTGAATGAGAAGTTGGTTTTTAATAAAATTTTATCAGTTTCTAGAGTATTAAATTAATACACAAAACAATGTGTCAGTGATTTCTTATATTTACGCGAACACTACACATTTTTAAATAAAGCTAATTTTACGGATTTTATCGCGTATATTAACTTATTTTTATATTCCCGACGTTTCGGGTGCTTTCCAGCACCCGTGGTCACGGGGGACTGAGGTGTTTGACGTCCTGCTGTCATAGTTAGCCCGGCTAACTTCAGTTTTTTTAATATTAATTTTTGGTTCGATTTACGCAGAATGAGCTTACAATATCTTGAAGTCTAGCAGTGGTATACTTGGGTTTGGATTTGATTTTATTAATTATGGGATCCCAAGCAGATGGCAGCACCCATCCATCTTCTCTATTGAAATTAGGATGTTTTTTAATTTCAATAGCCTCGCGAATCATCCTTGGGAGGAATCGGTGTTCTTTTGCGAGGATTTGTGGTCTATCAAATCTAATGTAATGGCGGGGACGATCTTGAACATGTTGACAAACTACAGACTTCCTGATACGTCGGTGCTTCACGTCAGCTATATGTTCTGATCTATTAAAACCCGCGTTAAAGTTAAAATAATTTCAATATGCTAACTATGACAGCAGGACGTCAAACACCTCAGTCCCCCGTGACCACGGGTGCTGGAAAGCACCTGAAACATCGGGAATATAAAAATAAGTTAATATACGCGATAAAATCCGTAAAATTAGTTTTATTTAAAAATGTGTCAGTGGTTTGCTCTTTAATTTTTTTGCACATTTTTAACTTTTTTTTAATTTTTCTACTTTTATGAATATCCGTGGTTTGGTTTATTTATTTTTAATCTTATTAATATAAAATAAAGCTAATAGTGCAGAAAGAAACAATAACCTTTACATTTTCCGAACAAATTAACTTCCCCGCTAAGAAATCTGTCAAATATTATACCTCACTTTCTAGTGGCGCCACCCTGTTGGTAAAAAAAGTGGTGGATGCTTTCAACGACGGAAATTGAAGATGGGTCGAATTAAGGGTACTCTTAACCGACGTGCCAAATGGAAGTCCGTAGTCTCTGCCTACTCCTCTGGGTTACAGGCGTGAGTAATTATACATGTTTTATAATATTATGTATATTTTTAACATTATATAGTATAGTAAGTAATCAGTCCACTGTTTGACACGGCCTCTGGATTCGCCATTATCGCCACGCTTGTGTGGGTTTCTTTTGTGTAATAAATAAAATAAATGCGTTTTAAAATTTTAAATTAGATAATTGTTCGGAAGCCCAATTTTAATTACTATCGCATGTGTATCATCTAGGTCAAGGGTTTTACGCTTCCGGATTCTTTAATATTTTGTAAGTACTGTAAATATAGTATCGAGTCTTTTGTTTAGTGTATATTTTATTTTTATTTGAGGAAACATACAACTTCACAATGTGTCTTACAATGATAATTTCTTTATTTACTAATAAGCCAGTGTTTGACTACTACCCCAACTGGAAGTAAGCAGTGACAATATACGATAATTTCTTAATACAACAATTAATATATTATCATCTAATTTGAATTTGTTTTTGTACACCTCATATCTAAGCGTTATTAGGTAGTGCATTACTCTCTACACGTCAAGGTCAAGCAAGTTTGTGTTCTTAAATTGCTACTATGACAGCCATATTGCACTTATACAATAACATGACTACCCGTATATCAAAAAAACATTCCAATTAATCTATTTATACTTTGAAAATTACGTGGACGTCTGGATGTTGATTTTGTATCATGGTCATGTCATTTCCCGAAAAAATTGACGTATCGAGACTGGGTTTTTTTTATTAGCTTCAGAATTATATCGACTTGTTCCCTATTTTATATCAATAGCCTAGTACGCGTAGTTTGTTAATTAAAATTATTTTCAAGTTTTATCGCTATTAAAAATTTGAAGGTGCTTTCATATTTTTTAGCCCTTGAAAGACAAAGGACAATTATACTATACAGCCTATATCGATTTTATACTTTGTGTAATCGATTTATTTTGGTAAAAAATTATTTTTCCCTGTAGGTGACAATACCTGTTAAAATAATAGAGCGCTAAATTTAAAACACGTAAATAATACATTTTAAAATTCAGGAATACAATTTATTTTTTTCATCAAAATTAAATGAAACGCTCATGAGGCCTGTACTTTTATATTTTCGAAACTATTTTTTATTAGTATCATATTAGTAGGTATTTAAAATATATAGTTAAGACATTCATTATAGATATATCATTTAATTGTAGATGCGTCTGTTAGTTATTATGTAAATTCTGAATAACTTGACTGTTTGAGGTAATATTCACAAAATATATTTGTTTTGTAGAGATGATAGTTCATAGCATAGGTATTATGCTATATTTATGGACCATCTTGGCTCTTATATTATATTCACATTATATCTTAGTTTAGTGCCAAAAAAAGGAAATCACAAAATTGCACCCTATAGGTTACGCTGTGGTAGAGTTGTTAATAAATTGTATATTTTTACAGTTAAAAATTAGCTGAGTGGACACATATTAAACACCGGAAAGAGCAGAACAACGTCTGCTGAGCCAGCTAATTTGACTACAAAAACTATGACGTATTACATTATATTCTCATACAATTAATACATATTATATCGATATATTTGTTTTAACAATTCTTAAGGATTATTTCAGTTGTCTAGTTTTGAATATCCAATTGCGTAACCAATATCATTTTGCATGAATCATCATAATCATTACAGGCCTTCACAAGTCCACCACTGAACATAGGGCGCCCTCAAGGAATGCCACAAAGCACGGTCCTGAGCCACCTGCATCCATTGACTTCCTGCATGTCCTTCCAGGTCGTCAATCCATCTAGTGGGGGGTCGCCCTACACTTCGCCTACCGGTACGAGGCTGCCACTCGAGAACATTTTTTCCCCCATCGGTTGTGGTTCGAGCTATAGGGCCAGCACATTGCCATTTCAGATTACTAATCCGTTAGGCAATGTCTATCCACGAATAGTTAGACAAACATTATAAAATAAAAAATTTATTTTACAACTGTAATAAATTGTATAATAATTTTAAAAAAATTAAGATACTTACTAGATCCTAAAACTTCCTTTACCATAAAAGGAAAAAGCCAACCTACTAATGGAGTCTCTCCAGCAACATAGTGGGCCTTTTTATGATAGAAAAGCAAACCATCCAAAGGTGGGAAATTTGATTCAAATTGTGGATACTTCATCATAAAACTGCAAGTATAACATGTTATTATAAATATGTAATAATGTTATAAATTGTAAGAAAAAGAGAAAAGAAAGTGTGACAAGCGAGCTTACAGTCCATGTGATGGTAAGTGAATGCCCAATGACATCAATATTTGGTTAATATCAAACTACAAGTACGTTAATTACGCACGCTGTACTTTTTTTAAACAAAACGTGACAACCGCACTAGAATTTTCTCCTGTATCGTGGAGGCAGTTTACATACACATATTGCACAATGGAATCATCCAGACCCGGAACAATTACTTGTAGGCCATACAAATACTTGTTCCGTGCGGATTCGAACTTCGAGCTTCGAGCCCTTAGCACCGTAACTCATTGCTAAACCACTGCGCCACAGAGCCGTGGAACTGAACTGTACTGAACATGGCTAATGAGCAGTTTAAGTACACATTTATTATAGTCAGTTAATTTGCATTGGAACTGCAACTACATGCTAACACGCCGTCGTTAGCATTGTTTCGATACAGTTTTGCCAAATTGTTAATTAATTTTTCAGCAACTTCCTGACTTCTACAATTTAATTATGTTTTATTTTACTTAATTTGATATTTTTTTCGATAATAAATACATAAGTATAAGATTTTTTTTAAATATTATATAATATACATACTCTTGAATCTACATAATTATACTCTATATTAAAACTTACCATGTTGGTTATTTAACTGGTAGGACTAAATACAATTTTTAGAAAAATAACCTTCTAAAGACAAAATATTATGTTATCTTCAAGATTTTCAAGAATACAGCAAATGATGTAGGCCATAACTATCTTACTGGGCAGATGAGTTCCTATTCTCTGTTGTTAATGCTTCTCTCTATCATCAGTCTGTGGGTTTTGAGTTTAGCATAATTGGATAACTTTCCCGCCATAAATAGTTTACCAGAACCTAGTACGTTAAAAAGGCGTCTGCGCGAGCATACGTGGTTGGCACTAAGAGAAATGTTAGTATAGTTTGCCTTAGCCTCTAAATAATACATATGATATGATACAATGCAACCACATTGTATCATACACTTACTTATTAAAAGATTCCATAGAACATGACACCATAGGCAGCAATTGAAATATAACTTTGTTTTTCTTACTGACTTTATATAAATCCCCAAGTTCCTGAAGCTGTGTTTTTAACCAGTATTGCCTAAATTCTGTCTGAAAATAATTTATTAAAAACACAAAAACAATGAGAGAATGATATACATTATAAAGCTTTACAATGAAATACCTCGCATTTCAGTATGCATATTTAAGTTTATTCATCAGGGAATCGAAAAGACGAAACTGATATTCTACAAATTATAATCTGCTTGTTTTTTTATCTGATAGTGTGAGTATGTTATGTATGTTGTCCCAGGACAGAGGTTTTTTCCGAACCAGTGGTAATCAAACAAAAGAGTGACTTTCAATAAGTATTATTTATAATCTATATTGAATAAAAAAAGTTTCTGTTTCTGTTATGCTTATTAAAGTCCCACTACTGGGTACAATCTGTACTGTGTGTCTGGGTAAATATCTGAGGAGATTATGGAGCATTTAGTTCACCTCGCTGCTCAAGTAAGTATTGGTCGGTAATCACATGTCTTCTAATTATTTTATTCCTCAGACATGCAAGTTTTCTGACAATAAACGTAGTAAATATACACTTAAAGACTCACTTTCCGATTTGCAGACACAATAGTAAGACAATAGCAATGACCCACATGTGGGTCACGGGACAGTGAAAGTGTTAAAATTGAAATTACCCATTTTATTGATGCCGGCGGGAATTGAAGTTGCTCGCATACCGTGAAAATTACGACGAGCACTTAGCGCCTGAGCTTACCAAGGGTCTAGTGAATAGTAATTAATTTTGTATTCCCACCACAAATCTAAACACTAAATTAACTACTGACCATTGAATTAAAAAAAAAGGCTTGCAAAGCTTATGCAGAGTAGACAACTTTATTTGTAAACTCATATTGTGTAGTTACAAATAAAGTGGTCTCCATAGTCTCCATTAAGACTAGCCAACATTATATATGTATATAAGCACTCTATGGTTAGGGCTATCCTACTAAGATAATAAGAAACTAATTAGGGTTGTGTTAGGAGGTGAGGACCTTAGGAAACAGTTTCTGATAAGAAGTGTCAACTATCGCCCATAAACAACAGCAACACCAGGGAAATGCAGGTGTGTTGCCGGCCTTTTTAAAAGGAATAAGCTAGTTTCTTGAAGGTTTTTAAGTTGTATCAGCCCGGAAAAATCGCTGATGGTAGAGGATTCCACAAAGATGTCTAGCGAGGAAGAAAACTTCTAGTAAATTGCAGTCACGGTGAATCACCAAGATGGCATAGATGGTACCGTGAGTTTAGCCCCGATGTGCGTGTGTAGAATTTGGCGGCTGTAATTAATCCAAAAGATACGTTGGAACGACTGCTAACTCCAGAGCACCTGTCCAGGGAGAGGAGTGCTTTGCACACTGAGAGCTATGTAAACCGCATATCTAGCATGGAGCAATCACACCACGGGGTGGTCGGCGGTGTGTAACACCCGTCATTGATAGTCGAGTTAGACTCAAAAAGAGAACCTAAAAGATCAACTTTCTTCTTTGTGGCATGGGCCATGAGTCCTTCTCCCTGGGCAGAGATGATACAGATGGCTGACAGAAGTTCCCTTGGACAGCCTTGGCAAAACACCTTAATAAAATTAGAGATAGCGACGAGAGCTTGAGCAGTTTAAAATATTTGAATCACTTCCAGTCAGTCAACGAAAGGCGAAAGGTACCATATCTTATCTTTACAACCTATTTATTTGTTTTGTATCAAAAATAAAGAAAACAACAAGTAAAATACTTGGAGCACTTACTCTATTACTTATTGAGAATTTTATATCAAATTTCATTCTGTACATAAGTGGCACTTGCAAAGGCAAGGTCAGCGCCCACCCGAGCCTTGAGCCCTCGACTGCAGGCCTAGTTAGCCTGTGGGTAAATCAGGCTCTACCTACCAATCATTTTTGTATAGTCAGCTATTACAAGATACGACAATAGACACCCAACACAGCTGCCATATTCATATTATGCCTTAAAATAGCTAGTTGACTCTAAAGTGTTATTCTTACCTCCCCATCTGTCATAGGTTGACTGTTCCATGCAAGAAGATCCAAAACATACATAGTGTTATTTTTTTCTACATAAAATCCGTCTAGTACGCAGAAACTTCCCCTGCGTTGATTTATGTCTGTCGGATTGCCTCCAGGCAATGCAGTGCGACATTCCATTAAAAAACGGCCATTCTTTGTAAAAAATTTTGTTATTCCCTGAAAAGACAGTGGGACGTTATTATTTTTAAAATATGTACAGATTTTTTTAAATTGTATCTGTACCAAACATTTTAAGTCATTAGGGCAGTAACTATGTAATTTTTGAAGTGACAATGACCTAATCATCTAGAATAGGTGGTCGATTTCCTTTTCTCTATAGGTGTCTGTTTGGGTGGTCTAACCAGATCGATGAGTTGTTTCTAAAGAGGGTGGTCTCTTTCAAATTTCTGCCGCCGCCGTCAAATGTATCCACTACTGAGTTCTGATTGAAAGGTAAGAAAGCCAGAATAATTAAAAAATAACATGTTGTAAGATATATCACCAAAGCAAAAGCAAAGATGACAATGCATCTATGGCCTTATATGTTCAAACTTATAAGTGACCATTAGCTGTAGTATCCACTTACCATCAGGTGGCCTGTTAGATTGGTTATCCCTCTCAATAAAATATTTGCAAATCTAAAAACAGATATATGTACGAAACATTTGAATACTTTTGCAGACCATTCCTAGCACAAGCATTTTAAGACCTACAAGATGATAACGGTTCACACATTAACTAGAAATGTTTATTCTTTTTTATATAAAAAAATCCAAAGACTAAAACTTTTAAAACCCCACCCTGATCCAAAAGCTGTCAAGCGCCTAGTGCCTACCAATCAATGGTAAAACATAATACCAGCGTAAAATAACAGATAATGCTGTCGTGTTTCGTATGGTGAGTGTAGAGAACCGGTGACCCTTTTTACTGGAAATGAGGCATTCCATCTTGGTCCTCAGGGGTGACAGCGCATCTGCATTTGATTCTTAATTGAGGATAAATGTAGATGTACATGGACATCGCTATCCACTTACCACCAGGTAGACTGTGTGCTTGTTTGTCACCCATATTCTATAAAAAAAAAACGATCACCATGCAGTTTCAATGCAAACTGGATAACTACTTTTCCTCAAAATGTTTTGCTGAGCATGATCACTAACTTTATGATTAACAATTTCATAGATGTCAGTGTTGATTAAACTTGAGTCAAAAATCCAGTCCTCTTGTAGTTCTCAAGAATTACTCGCAGTTATTTGTTAGCCTTTTGTCCTTAAAATGATCCAAGTAACACTACTTTCACTTCCTTTGGGAGTCATTATTTTAAGCTATATACACTTTTAAAGTCTAATAAAAAAGTAAAATCAAAAGTTCTATATCCACATAAAAAAAATTGTTACGAAAACCTATTGCTAAGTAAATCCGATTCAGGTATCTGATTGTGACGTCGTGTAGGTATTAATACAGTGCCAAGCAGCGACAACGGTAATCACATTCGCATGAGTCTGTACTAAACACTCGACTGCATATCATATAGTCTTCATTCGCATCGAATATTTATAAGTACCTAGTGTTTAAAATCCGACTAATATTTGGTTTAAGTCCCAACTAGTCTCGAGTACTGACAGACTGACAGAAAGACTGCTGAATAGTGTAGTTAAAAAAGGACCTAATATATTCTTGTACAACATGAGTGTGCGCCGCTTTACTTTCTTATACGTTGAAATATAGTTCAAATTCAAATGACTGACAAAAATGATTTAGGTAAACACGAGTGAGCAGCAAAGCAAACTAGTAACTATGGCAACAAAATGCTATCTCGCTTCACAGTGTCTGTACTTCTTCGATTTGTGCTGGCCATGGTTGGCTAGCGATGCCTAGTCACAGTGAGACTAGGCGACCCAGTTTTTTAAAATTTGGAACAGGTGTAACCTAGTCTCGTTTAATACATAGTACCTGGATCTGTTCTCTAATATAGATATCATTAACCTGCACTCAGAACTAAACCTATGTTTAGCGGCCTAACCTTGACTTTATTATTTATACTCACATACTCACATTAGTCATAGATATACATTATAATATTTAACATATAAACATAAAGGAATGTTAACTAATAAAACAGTTTTTTACGTACATTATCAGCAACAACAAGTACTCTGACCCCTGTGGGACATGGTACTACATACCAGTTCTCATTAAAATCCTCTGGCTTTTCTATTAACCATTCTGACAACATGAGCACATTATTGTAAACAGGGGATGTTTTATGAAACCCAGCTACATATATATTTGGCCTATATGCAACCTGAAATAATATTATCACATAGGTAATTCATTTTTTAAATAGGGTTTCTTTTAAATACAAATAAAGTTAAAAGATAAATAATATTCAGTTGGCAAACTAACTCTTTGGCTTTTAAAAATGTGATCTTCTTTAACACCACCTACAAGTTCCAGAAGACCTCTTAAACTGTCAAGTTCATGATTTCTATTCCTGTAAAAAGGTTATTGAAATCAAAAATTATCACTTTTTTATGTCCTCAATAATGTATCAATTGTAATAAACAAAAAATACCCTTTTTGAATTGACAATATCTCTTTCCGCCTTACTTCTTGATTACCGAATTTACCCCAATTTTTATACAAACTTTCATAATTGTTTTGTTTTTGATCACCTCGTAATTCTTCGCAATTAAGAACTGTATCAAATTTGTTTAATACTTCATCCATTTCAAATTAAGACGAATTAAATTCATAAAAGAAATTATTCCCTGTATTTAAGTAGTGTCTTTTTTCTTAAAGAAATATAAAAGACGCCCTTATTTTACTTTCTATTCTATAATATAAAGGTATGATGTACTCTGTGTAAATTAACTATATTTTTTCTTTAGAATTTTCTTTTAAATCACGTAAAACTAAACCATTTTTTTTAAAGTGGCTTTACGGCTCTGGGTTCTAGCCCTTCTGAGCCTAACAAAAACATATCAATACATTAATTCATAGATTAATGATAAGTCATCGTGCGCTCTGACAAGATACCGCCGGCGCTCATGTAAAACGCGGCAGCAAATACTACGCCAAAATCGGCGTACCCGAGCCAGTCGCGCGCGTTGCAGGCAACGTGTGAGGTGAATGTACCGAACGTTTTATTAAATTTTGATCATAATCCAAAGTAAAATACCAGTTTACGTATTGAAACTGTGTAAAAATAATACTACAAGAAATAAGAAAGACACTGGAATCACATACAATCATTAAGTGTCATACAATTTAGAAATTTTAACATAAAATAACACGAGCCATAAATAAGTCACAAAATATCAATGACGCTATTCAGTGTTGCCGCGCATGCAAAAATAAAGTTCGCTGTGGCTGTGATTTTTATATGTGAATTTATTGTTACTATATTTTATAATATAATATATTTAACTTATAATAATATAACCTAATTCTATATTATTTAATGTTTATTTCTGTAGTATTGCTCAAATGACATAATTGCCGTTGATTAGGGTTCCGAACCCAAAGAGTATCAACGGGACCCAAGTCTCCACTATCGTTCCATTCGTCTGTCAGTAGGCTGTATCTTATGAACCGTAATATGTATAATTTTCACAGAATGTGTATTTATATTGCTGCTATAACAACATAAAATAAAAAAGAAAACAAGTAAAATATTAAAGGACCCAAAAACATCACGTTTCTGTATGAAGACCATACAAGAAACGTGCTATTTTTCTGTATTGATATGTGTTTTGTTTACAGACTAAAGCGAAACCTGGATTAACACGCAATAAAAAGATGGTGTGTGTATGGTGGGATTGAAAGTTTATCATGAGCTTTTACGGCTGGGTAAAACCATCAATTCGGATCTCTACTACCAATAAATAATGAGACAAGCAAGAAATAGAAAAAAAAAACGGCTGGCATTGATATTCAGAAAAGGAGTGGTCTTTCATCATGATAACGCCAGATCACAAGATTAGTTATCTGTTTGAGACTTTCAATACATACTAAATGCCTAAAAATCCAGTATTTGCTTGAGTACTTAAAACTTTAATACGTGGTAGAGCCATGCTGCAGCTATATTACTGGTATAGTTGTAGCACGAATGGGTAAGCTCGACCGGGGAAGGACCACGCTCTCACAGAATACCAGTGTAAAATAGGAGCTTAACGCTACTGTGTTTCCTATAGTGAGTGTAGAGAACCGGAGACCCTTTTTACTGGAAACGAGGCATTCCATCTTAGTCTTCAGGGGTTGCAACGCATCTGCATTTTGATTCTTAACCGAGGATAGATGTATATGTCTATGGGCCACAGCAACCACTTACCATCAGGTGGACTGTGTGCTCGTTTGTCACCCTGATCCTATAAAAAATATCTCAAAGTCAGTTATTCCATACAAAATTTCGTACAAACTTGCTCAAAATATACGGAAGACCTGATTTTTCTTGCGATTTGGAAGATAGATCTATAGTAAAAGTTGTTCATATTGACGCGTAGAATAGAAAGCACTATTTTGATTACACCATATATATAACTATTTTTTTAAATAATTTGTGAATATTAGTTAGACATGTAAATAAAAAAATTAAACTGATAAAAAGGAGGGCTTATCATTTATATGTCATTTATTCAGAAGAAAAACCTATACATAATATACACAAATATAATGATACATTCGTTATTATTAAACTATTCATTTTTAAGTATTTCTGGAATACATTCATAACTATGAACTTAACTACTAAGCCATAGCATAAAATAAATTTTCCCGTTAATCGGGTAATAGTTAAGCTGCTGGCATATACAACTTTTCACGCACACTAGCACCGTGCAAATTGTCTTATACACACTACAATATTAAGATGCCGCACTGACGGAGCTGTTACTTGCATAGAGCGCGGTATCTATTCAGAGCGCGTGATGACTTATCATTAATCTATGCCATTAATTTATATTTAATTAAAATAAATAACACATAAATCTGGCTCTACAAAACCAAAATTCAACCATAGATAAATAAATATGTAGTTATGAGTTATGTAGCAAGCTACAGATACGATAGTTAATTTTAGTAAAGTTTCCCAACTACGCCTTTGGCGCTGCAGTTGCCTATTTTGATAGATAAGTAAAGCCCGCTTTTCACTATGGGATATAATATAATATGTATTACATCTCAAGATATAAATTATTATCGCTCACCATACACTTCATATGGAACCGTTTACACTGAGCTATAATATATATTACATGTCAAGCTATTTTCGATCGACCGAGCGATATTTTCATAATACATTTCGCCCCCTGTACCCCGCACACCGTTCCGCGCCCCCGCAGAACGGTGTACGGGGTAAAGGAGGTAATCCAATGGCCAATGACGAACGCACACTGGTTAAAAGATATATCTCACAGTGTGAAAGCCAATCGCAGGATATAATGTATATTTCGCCCTACACTTCGCCTACCGGTACGAGGCTGCCACTCAAGAACCTTTCTTCCCCATCGGTTGTCGGTTCTTCGAGCGATATGTCCGGCCCACTGCCACTTCACCTTACTAATCCATTGGGCTATGTCGGTTACTCTTATTCTACTGCGGATATACTCATTTCTAAGTTTATCACGCAGACAAACCCCGAGCATTGCCCTCTCCATAGCTCGCTGAGCTACCTTGAGCTTCCTCATACGGCCAGCAGTGAAAGACCACGTTTCAGATCCGTAAGTAATCACTGGCAACACGCACTGGTTGTACAATTTCGTTTTAAGGTTTTGAGGTATGTCTGACGAGAAGATGTGTCGTAGTTTCCCGAACGCTGCCCAGCCGAGTTGAATCCGTCGATTGACCTCTCGGTCGAAGTTGGACTTACCTAGTCGGACTATTTGTCCTAGGTAAACATACTCGTCAACAACTTCGAGATTAGTGCTCCCAACAATAGCATAGGTGTGACATGGACATTAAACATGATCTTTGGTTTGTCCATGTTCATCCTAAGACCTATTCGTTGGGAGACACTATTGAGGTCATTGAGCATGGTGCTTAGGTCCTCCAGTGATTCTGCCATAAAGACTATATCGTTGGCAAATCGAAGGTGAGTGATGTACTCGCCATTAATGCTAATACCGCATCCTTTTCAGCCCAGCAGCTTGAAAACGTCTTCCAAAGCAGCGGTGAAGAGTTTCAGGGATATAACGTCACCCTGTCTTACACCTCTCTGCAGTTGGATAGGTTTCGTACTCTGATTCTGTACTCGGATAGCCATCGTAGCTCTACTATACAAACACTTCAGCACTTCAGTTCGGTCTGAGTCCACATGAGTATGCCAAATGTATACATGAGTTATTATTATTGGGTTATCCATAAAGATTTCTCATCTGGTTGGGCTGTTTAAATATATAATTGTAAACGAAAGATACAAACATACATAAATATCAATAAAATAGAATAAATACATAAAAAATACATAAATATATAAAAACCCAACCAGATGGAAGCCGTGTAGTGGCGGTTAAGAATATCCACTACCCCATATCTTCCCGTGGGTGTCGTAAAAGGCGACAAAGGGAAACAGGCAGAAGATAGGCAGCAGCATCTTCCTAATAACAGCAAAAGTACAATAAAAAAACTGCGGTTGTCACCCCTCTCGCCAAGCGTGGCAACTATGGCAAATACCCCCATATGATGAGAGTAACAATGAGACGGCTCCCAGTCCCCAGCGGCCCCGCTATTCCTGGCTACGGTGGCGATCATGGTAACGGCGGGGCAGGGGGTGTTAAGAATCTCCGGTGGAGGTTCGGTTGCGAAAGTAAGTACCTTTGCTTTCTAGTTTGCTCAGCAAACTAGAAAGCAAAGGTACTTACTTGTATCAGGAGCTAACTTCGCTCCAAGGCTTGGGCAGGCCGTAAGTGTGTATAATGGTAGATAGCGAGTCGTGTACAGTGATGTGTGAATGTGTGGGGCCTTGGCAAGCATAGGCGACTAGCAGCGGCTGAGTTTCAGGCTGTTCCAAAATGCTGCATCGCTCCAGACTGCTTCAGCGCCGGACCACTTCTTTCTTCACTGTCACTATTCAGTCTCTTAGCTTCATTGTACATTGAACTAACTTCAATTCACCTAATTCCACACCCATCGCAGAGTTGAACACGTGATACCCTACAAGGCAACGGACAGTAGTTCAAAGTTCAATATTCAAGTCCCGGATTCACTTATCACAAATTATAAATTCGACACAGAATAACACGTCGCACAAGATTCAAAATACGCCTCGTTGACACGCAAAAGTAATTTAACTAGGCAACCAAAACACAAAAAGGCACTAATGCGACGACCCAATTATAACGATATCCTGCCAATTAACCGGGAGAAGCACTCAAACTAGGAATGCGCGGCTCGAATCCTAGACCGTATATCTCCTCGACGCGCGTACACTATTCCGAACTATCGCACGAGTTAAATATCGTACAATACACATATCTACGTGACGAAGAAGCACGTACTTCATCTAGCTGTCTAGATCCACGACGGGCCCGTGAATTTAGGGAAGAGGGTTTGACGGTCTCCCCGCATCGTGACCGGCGGGGCACCGACCCTTCGCTCACGCATCGAGCGACTGACTCCCATGCAGCCGCCCCACCTCGGCGTTTATCTCACCTACATACCAAATCAGGTGAGGCGCTAGCTCGAACGTAATTGGATGGCGTACAAATTACCTTTTTTGGCCTAAACTATTA